GTGTGTGTGTGTGTGTGTATACGTGTGTTTAAGAGCTGGGAAGAAAATGAATGGGGATGGAGTCTTGGCCAGGTCACTTGGCTGGATTTTCTCATTCCTATAGTGACAGTAGGAATTAGACTTCATAGGGTTGTTGTGAATATTAAATCAGACGATGTGTGTGAAAGGGCTTTATAAAACCAGAAGATAATTGGCCATCTGGTAAGACATTATGCAGGCCCCTGTCCCCCTGACTTCTGTGATGGGCTATGGCTTCCTCTTCTCATGAGCCAGGGATGTTGGATCCTCCTTCTCCCAATGAAACATCTGGGGTTTTCTGGGTTTTGACTCTAGCTATTTGGGGTGAGGGCACTGGGAAGAAATTTGAAAATTAGTAAGTGACCAGTGATGCAATTTTGCGTGTCCATCCCCCCAGTATCCCCACGTGTGTATGTATGTATCTGTACATCCCTGTCTGTCCACCTGTCTATCTATCCTTCTGGGAGTTTTGCCTTTTTAAAAAGAGAACTTTAAATCGACTAATGGCAGTATTGCAGGCAGTGCTGCGGGCATTCCCTGAATGCCTCTACACCAGGGAATAGACAGCAGGCGGCTTTCGATTACCTACATTCTGGCCAGTCCTTAATGATTCCATACTTTTCCCTTATTTTTCTGCTACTTTTCAGTGTTGTGGAGACAAGCAGTGGGGAGACTGGAGGCCTCACTTGGCTGTGATCCTGTCCAATCAGGCTGGGGACCCGGAGCTGCATCAGCGTGCAATTGTCACCATGGGGGACACTCTGGGTAAGCACACACCCGCTGACCCTTCTCTCCTCTGGGATGTGTCCAGTCCAGCTTTTGACATTCTGTCCTTCGATTCTGGGCAGGGCCACAGTCTATGCTCCGGACTTTTCCCAGACCCAGAAGCCTCTGTGTTTGGGGGAAGAAACACCAGGGAAAGGCATGTCCTTCCCACCTTTGTTTCCAAATTTCTGCTGTGAGCGAATGCAGGCCAGGCCCTGAACCCTGGTGCAACTGCAGGAGTCTCCTCTCAGCAGCTGATCTCCTGCCCTTGGGGGAAGTCCCCTTATAGATGGAGCTCACAAGTGGGACACTTCTCTCCTGCTGTCCCTCAGTAGTCTGGCTCAATCAGGTAGGAGATTCTGTTTTGGCCTGAACCACTCAGGGTGACTATGTCATCCTTATTTCTACCATCTCTCTGTGATTGTGGCCTTGTAAGCACTTAGGGGGCTTTTGAATATTCCGTATCAATGGTTCTCAAGTTTGGCCAAAAAGTAGAACATCTAGAAATCATGGTGCTTAAACTGGCTATGTGGAGGAACTGAAATCACTCTATGAAAAAGATACCTGCACACGCATGCTTATTGCAACATTATTCACAATAGCAAAAATGTGGAACCAACTGTACTGCCCATCGACACTGGACAGGATAAAAAATTGTGGTACATATACATGATGGAATATTCTGTACCCATAAAGGACAAAATTATGAACTTTGCAGCAACTTGGATGAATTTAGAGTCTATCATACTCAGTGATCTATCACAGAAACAAAGAACTGAGTACCACATGTTCTCACTCATAAGCAGACCTTGAACAATTATCATAATACTTTAAGAAAGGGATTGGCAGTAGTGGGAAACTGCTGGGGGGTGGGGTGGGGACCACGCTTCATCTTTAAGGGTATATGATCTCAAACCAGGTGACGTGGGGACCAAAGTGAGGCCCAAACTTTACCTGTGTAATGACCATTTGTATACCTAATTCTGAATTGTACCTGTCTTTAAAATTAAAAAAAAAATAAATAAACGAGCTATGTGGCAGATTGTGCCAAGTCAGAGGCCACTCAGCATCCCAGGTGAAAGGGAACTTATATTTGTCAAGCCCTTCCTGGTTGCCAGGCACTGTGCTAGGTCCTGCATCTGCTTAATTCAGTGTTGAGGCAATGGAAAATGTATGGGAGAACATTTTAAAATGGGAAATAATTTGGTAATTAATGTGGTTTCTATGAGCACTGGGAAAAACCTTCTATTATCTGAGTTTAGCGGGGGAAGCAATATTGCCCCAGGAAGCCTAGTTGAAAAACGATCCTCCCAGGGGTCTGCTTCTCTGCTTAGATGCAGCCATTCATTTTCCTTTCTCACCTCCAGGGGGAACTCAAATGTTTAGGGAATTCCTCATCAAAAATCCATCAGGGGAGGCTGGGTGCAGTGGCTCATGCCTGTAATCCTGTGGGAGGCCAAGGTGGGAGGATTGCTTGAACCCGGGGGTGTGAGACCAGCTTAGGCAGCATAGGGAGACCTTGACTCTACAAAAATAAATTAACTGGGCTTGGTGGCATGTACCAGCTACTCAAGAGGCTGAGGTGGAAGGATCGATCTCCTGAGCCCAGGAGGTTGAGGCTGTGGTGAGCTGTGACTGTGCCACTGCATTCCAGCTTGGGTGACAGAGTGAGACTCCAACAACAAAAAAATCCATCAGAAAATCTGTGAAATAGTGTCACACTCTGACTGAAGAGAAATGTAATGTCTGATGCCGAAAATGCTGGTAGGAGAGGGAATGGGGTTTGGGGTCTGTGACTCATGCTATGAACAGTTCATTCATTTCTTCCCACAAGGCTTCTCTCCTCTGGGCCTGGAGTCCACCCTTTCTTTCTTTCTTTTTTTTCCGAGTTGGAGTCTCACTCTGTTGCACAGGTTGGAGTGCAGTGGCACACTCACGGTCACCCCAGCATCAACCTTCTGGGCTCCGGTGATCCTTTTGCCTCAGCCTTCCCAGTAGCTGGAACTACAGGCCCACACTCGCTTGTCTAATTTTTGATTTATTGTAGAGATGAGGCCTCGCCAAGTTGCCCGGGCTGTCTCAAACCTGCAGGCTCAGGCAGTCCAACTCTCCCCGGCCTCCCCAAGTGCTGGGATTACAGGCTGAACCACCAAACCTGGCCTACCCTTTCATCCCTCTTCAATCCCACCCAGATGTCGGGTCCCCACACAGGTATGCACCATGACCGCCTCTTGTTCTGCTTCCCCACAGCTGGGAAGGGGCTGGTGGAGGCAGCCCACTTCTGCTACCTCATGGCCCATGTGCCCTTCGGCCACTACACTGTGAAGACGGACCGTCTGGCCTTGCTGGGCAGTGGCCACAGGTATGTGATCCGGGAGAAAGGACAGGGAGGACGTTTTCCATGGCTTGGTTTAGCCCTTGCTGGGTTTCTTGGGTCCAGTTTTCATTTTCTCATGTGAACTTCAGCTACTACTGGTCCTTCGATCCAGGGTTGTTTTCTGTGCAGGCCCGGACCAGGAGATGCCCAGTGCGCGCATCAGGGCTTCAGGTTGGAGGTCCTGCTCTGGGAAATCGCCGGTCGAAGTTTTTGTGTTGTATTGTGCCTCTGTGGCCACTGGGTGGCAACCTGACTCCACAACCAGACTGTCTCTGAAAGTGTTTCACCAGGGGAGGCATCTGGCTCTGGTTAGGTGGCCTTGGGCCTCTTCTGAGAGCCCACCTTGGGCAGAACCTGAAGATGGAAGAAGCTTATGTCTAGTCCCTCTTTGGGGCCCCAGCATCCCTATAGTGACTTGGTGCACCAGCTTCGTAGGGTCCCACTGGTCACCTGTACTCTGCTGGCTGTAACATTAGGCTTTTCTCCCAGAAGGACTGTACACCCTTAGAGAGTGAATAAATGGATAACGGCCATTTGCTCCCTAGTGTCCTTCCTGTTCTGGACCTCTCTATCCACCACCCCATAACAGTCAAGATTTGCTGAGCTCTTACGTTACACCGGTCATTTCTGTGCACTATTTCCTGTAATTCTTACAAATTTCTTTAATGAAGAAGGCATTTGTGTGTGCCACATATACCTTAAAATGTATACATTTTAAGAAAGGAAAACATTGTATTAAAATTGTATTGCTCAATATATACTGATAACAAACAATGAATACAAGTCACATTTGATTTCTGCAATTACAAGAGTTGCTCAAAGTGGTTACCGATAGCATCTAGACACTTCTGATTAGGGTGAGTATCACTTAACATCTCAAAATGTGTATATATTGTTTGGCACTCCTATATATATATTTACACACACACACACACACACACACACACACACACACACACACACACACATATGTGTGTATACACATATATCTTACCCTTCCAAAAAAGCTATATTTTAGTGTGATGTAAAGGCAACATTTCAAGTTCTTCTTTAATCAACCACCCAGTTTACCCCTAAAAGTGACAAAGAATCAAAGTCTCATACAGGTCAAGTGCAGTAAACTAAAATGTTCTCTCAGCAGAAAACAGCACTAGAAAAAGTAACAGTTATAGATGGGAGGTGACTGGTTTTACAGTGGCTAAGAAGGTGTATTTAATCCACACATCTAGGGGAGGGGAACCCAGGTGGGTTATATAACTTGTTTAAGATATTCCAACTAGGGTGTGGTGGAGTTGGACATGGGATCCGGGCTGTTGGGCTGGGAGACCCTTACTTTGAACAATTGCAGCAAACGGCCACCTGCCTGTGGTAGCAACACACCTGTCTCATCGCCTGCTCTTTCCTGGCCCTGGTCTCTGAGAACCTAATTAGCTTGTCAAAGGAGCCCTTCTCTGCCATATGTGACCATAAGGGCTTATGGGTTACCGTGTTTCCCTCCTATGCTTATGTTGTACCAGGATATCTCTGGAAATAAAGTCCTAACCCCCAGGAATGACCTGGTGGCTGATTTCAAACACAAGTTGTGGAGGGGAGGGGCTGTGGGTTGTGGGACTCCTGTCGCCCCTCTCCACCCCCATCCCCAGATCACAGTCATCTGCTCCTCTTCCTCCTGGCAAATGAACATCCAACCAAGGTCTTGATTTCTGGTCAGAAGTTCTCCTTATTCTCTGTCATGCTCTTGTCTTGGTGCTCCTGGAGCATCACATGGCCCTCTCTTTTATGCTAGCTTGCTCAAACTAGGGGTACCTTTCATAGGTCACATCAGGCTTCAGGGGAGCAGAGGCAGCTCTCGGCGTGTCGAAGAGGAGGGCTCAGTGCCCCTCGGAGCAGCTTGCCTTAAGTTACCCTCCAGCAAGAGGGCAGGCTACCCTCCCTTCCCACAGCCTCCGCCTCACAGTACCTCTGGGGTGGTGCATAGTTCTTTTCTGTTCCTTCCCTAGCCTCAAGGAGGCAAAGGGGTAAGAGTGAAACCCAGTCTGGAGGCCCAAGATCTTTTTCCTCTCTTGAAGCTGCTGTAGAGAACAGCCTAGGATGGAAATTCCACCAGGACAGGATGCGGAGGGGCCTGGCTAACTTCAGGGTTTAAATCCCATATCTCCCCAAGTCTCAAAATTTTTTATTGTTGTTCCCTGCTTTCAGTCAAGAGTTTTTGAAATTCGCAACGACTGAGGCCATCCAGCGGACGGAAATCTTCGAGTACTGTCAGATGCTGGGCCGCCCCAAATCCTTCATCCCTTCTTTCCAGGTAACTGAACCCAGAGGAGGCTCCACATTCCTGCACCGGGCGGCGGTGGCAGCAGGACCTCCAGAGCCATAGCTGGCCCATGGTACCTGGGACTGAGTCGACCACGGAAACTTCCTCATTAGCTTGAATGTGGAAAGGCTTAGCATCCCTTTCTATGTCCCCTAAAGGCCGCCTTACAATACGAGAGCAAAGTCTTGCAAGAGACCTCTGGGCTGGAGGCTTTTCCTTCCTGCTGACATGCGAGACTCCCCCTGCCTTGCCGGCCCAGACTCGCTCCTGCCTTGAGCCCTTCTACCCTTCGCGCTCTGGAAGGCTCTTCCTCTTCTCTCCTTTCTGCTCAGCCTCCACTGCTGTCCTGCGGGAGACGGTGGGAGTGCCGGCCCTGGGGTGGCTGCTCCCGCCTCCTTCCTTCCCCATCGCCTCCTGCCTACGCACACCTGCCTTCTTCCTATGCTCACCTCCTCCTCACTATGCCCACCCATCTCCTTCCTACGCTTACTTCCTTCTCCATACATCTGTCTCCTTCCCAGGCTCGCAACCCCCTTTCTACACTCACCTGCCTCCTTCCTTTGCTCACCTCTTCACTGCTATGCCCACCATCTCCTTCCTACGCTCACCTGCCTCCTTTCTGTGCTCATCTCCTCCTTCCTATGCTTACCTCCTTCTTACTATGCCCACTTGTTTCCTTCCTACGCTCACTTCCTCCTTACGCCATCCACCTCCTCCATCCTCCTCTCACCTGTCTCCTTCCTACACCCACCTGCCTCCTTCCTATGCTCACCTCCTCCATTCTTCACTCATATCTTCATTCCTAAGTTCATCACCTCCTTTGTACGCACCACTGTCTCCTCCCTACGCCCACCTCCTCCTTTCAACAACCACATCCTCCTGCCCACGCCCACCTGCCTCTTTCCTATGCTCACCTCCTCCATCCTATGCTCACCTCCCCCTTCCTACGCTCACCTCCTCCTTCCTGGGCTCTTCTCCTCCATCCTAGGCTCACCACCACCTTCCTACCCTCACCTTCTCTATGTTATGCTCACTTCCTCCTTCCTATGCTCACACCTCCTTCCTACTCTCACCTCCTCCATCTTATGCTCACTTCCTCCTCCCTACATTCACCTCCTCCATCCTCTGCTCACCTCCCCCTTCCTACGCTCACCACCTCCTTGCTGTGCTCACCTCCTCCATCTTATGCTCACTCCTGCTTCCTTTGCTCACCTCTTCCTTCCTTCACTCACCTCTCTCTTCCTACTCTCACTTCCTCCATCTTACGCTCACCTCCTCCTTCCTCCATTCACCTCCTCCATCCTACACTCACCTCCTCCTTCCTGCGCTCGCCACTTCCTTCCTACACCCACATGTCTCCTTCCTATGTCCGCCTCCTCCCTCCCACGCCCCCTGCTTCCTGCATCCGCGTACCTCCTCCTCCTTCACCAACCTGCCTCCTTCCTGTACCTCTTCTCAGGTCTCTACTGGGCTCTTGTGCCTGTTGCCTCTGGAATCCCCTCCCTGTTGTGTCCTCGGCCTTCACCCTCCTTTCCTCACTCTCAGGGCTTCAGCAGTGCGGACAGAGTCCGCACCGCAGGCTCTGTCTTCTCTCCTCCACTTCTCTTTCCTCTGCTTCTGTCCTCTAGGTTCTGTCCTCCACTTCTCACCTCTCATTCATGGCGACTGGTGCTGACATCGTGTCGTCCTCCCGTCCAAATCCTCCTCGTGCTCTGAGATCCAGCATCAGCTTTCCTCCGTGAAGGCTCCCCTGGCCGCTCTCACAGTGTGACCACAGTGGCGGCCCTCAGTGGTCTCAGCTGTGAGATGGGGGTGATGGTGTGCCTTGTCATGAAGCTGGCACTGGATGGAGTGAGCTTCTGTGACATACAGGGACCGTGCCTGGCATGAGCCACTGCTCTCAGAGCTGAGGTCATAGTGGGTGCAGCGCTGGTGCCCACAGCTGGACCCCAGGCCCCGCTTAACATTGAACTTGAGCTGCATTGCATTTTCTTTCCTCTTGTGCAGGTACCTTGTCTTTCTGCCTGAACTGTCTTCTTCAGGCAGAGACATTTCCAGTGATCCTTTGTGCCCCCTTCAGTGTATGGTATTGAGAAAGCATACGGCAACAACACACACACACAATACGACACAGACAAGACCTTGAAGGTGAATGGCAGTATGGGAAGAGATGGCCCATTGGGTGTCTCCTCTTCTGCAAGGGTTTTGCCAAAGCCCACCTTTCCCAGCACAGCCTTCCTGGTCAGCTCTGCCTACAGCTCCTCCTTTGGTATTCTGGTCTTTTTCTTCCCTTCTGTCTCCATCCCACCTCTTGGTCATTTGGGGCTGATAGTGGAGAGATTAGCTAGTTTTACTGACATGCCTGCAGTGTGCTACTATGCTTCTTTTTTATTTAGAGTCAGGGTCTTGCTCTGTCACCCAAGCTGGGATGTAGAGATATGATCATGGCTCACCACAGCCTCAACCTCCTGGACTCAGGTGGTCCTTTCTCCTCATCCTCCTGAGTAGCTGGGATTACAGGCATGCACCACCACACCCAGCTAACTTTTTGCTTCTCTTGTAGAGATGAGGTCTCACTATGTTGCCCAGGCTAGTCTCTAACCTCCTGGCTCAAGCTATCCTCCTGCCTTGGCCTCCCAAAGTGTTGGGATTACAGGCGTGAGCCACCACACTCTACTGCTGTTATGCTTCTTGTGTGTTATTTCTAATCCTGTGAGGTAACACAATTATCCCCCTTTTTACAAAAGAGAAAACTGAGACTCAGAGGGATTCTGTGCTATCGGCTCCCATCACTTACATATCATTTGTTCTAAGTACTTTACATGGTTTATCCCATCTAATCTTCACAACAACCAAGGGGGTAGGAAATACTGTCATTCCTCTTCTAGTGGGGAAACTTAGTCACAGACAAATGAGGTAGTTAGCTCAATGCTTTCACACCTTGCATGGAGCTTGGATTTGTACTTGGGTCCATCTGACACCAATGCCTTCACACTTGATCCTGCCTAGTCACACATGCCTCCATGAAAGCTCCCCTGTTTTTGTCAGCACTCTCCACTGGCTTTATGGCCCTGAGACTAGGGTCTGTTTTGCTTCTCTTGTCTGTCCCTTTGCTTCCTGGCCTGTACTTCCGGCTCTGCAGAGATAGTAGACTCCTTAAGGATTCAGAATTCCAGTATGCCATCCATAGTGACCAGTGCTTAGGAAGGCTGGGCTGCTGGGACTTCTGTCCTCTCCACCATAATGCAGGACCTGCTGGCTGGACTTGGGCTTGTGCCCACACACAGACAAAATGTTCCAAATGGAACAAGACTCTTGATATTTGGATGCTGGAGTTAGCAGAAGCCGGCTGTCAGCTGACTTCCAAGAAGTCTTATCTGCATTTCTCTGTCTCTCTGTCCCTGCCTGGATGGACTTGTCACTGGCTCTGTCTCCCCACAGGTATATAAGCTTCTTTATGCATCCCGTCTGGCAGATTGTGGCCTCGTGTCCCAGGCCCTGCATTACTGCGAAGCTATTGGTGCGGCTGTCCTGAACGAGGGAGAGAGTGGCCACTCTGTGCTGTTGGGGGAGCTCATCAAGGTTAGCCTCTCAAAGGGTTCTCTGCTGTGGCTTTATCTCCTTGCTTCAGAGGAAGCCACTGTGGCGCGGCATAGATGCCACATCTCATCTTCCTTGAACATGCTGCAGAATTGGAGCCCACCATTGCCTTTGGGCATGTGTGCGTGCCCAGATACGATAAGAGGAGGCCAGCGCGGCACACAGAGGGACACTCTGGGCAGGCGTGGGGGCTGGGGGGCTGTAGGCCATGCGTGTGACTTGGAAAACTTAGTCTCACATCTGCTTTTCTGGTACAGTAGAACCGCATGCTCCAGCGAGCTGTTCTAATTATGAAAGCTGGGCTTAGAAAACATATTTCAGTGATTAAAACAGGAAATTGATCCTTATTAAAATGCTTTCAAATGCATGGAATATTTTATCACATGTGGGATACATTTAAAATAGAAAACAAAAACATATCAACCTTTAGTTCCCAGGGAAGAAAACAACAATCAGGCAAATAGTTGTTCCAATTAATTGAAGAAAAATCCATTAGCAAGAGAGTAAAAAGGCAACCTCCTTGTGCATTTTTGTTTTGCTTTCGATGAGGATGAACTGCTGGATTTTGTAACCAATAGCATTTGTGGTGCTGAGCCCCCATGCCCCAAAATTCCTGCCAACAGGGTGATATTGTGCAGCACTCAGGGACCCAAATGTGCAATTGGAAAAGTCTGGGGACTTGAGGACGGAAAGCAGCATCAACGCCATGCAGGAGCTTGCTAGAGATGCAGATTCTCAGGCTCTACACAGCCCTCTGAAATCAGAATTACCATTACCATTACTTTAAAAAAAAAAATTTGCTCTGTCACCCAGACTGGAGTGCAGTGGCATGATCATAGCTCACTGCAGCCTTGAACTCCTGGGCTAAGATCTTCCTGCCTCAGCCTCCCAAATAGTTAGGACTACAGGTGGGTACCACCATGCCTGCCTAATTTTAATTTTTTTATTTTTGGAGAGACAGGTTCTCACTATGTTGCCCAGACTGGTCTTGAATTCCTAGCCTCAAGCCTCAATCCTCCTGCCTCAGCCTCCCAAAGTGCTGGGATTACAGACACAAGGCCACCACACCTGGTCAGAATTAGCATTTTAACTGAGTCCCTGGTGACTCCTGTGCACACAGAAGTTTGATAAACACTGTTACAGAACAGGCAGCTTTGCAGAGAAGTAAAACCGAGTGACTGTTTCTCCTCATATTTTATTTAGCATCTGACACTCAAGATGGATTAATTGTTATTTATGTCGTAATTTTGGGAGGATATCTACTGAATTTGCTATTTTTGCAACCATTCCTTACGATGGTGTTTACCAGTGAGTTAGGTTCTCTCTCCTTTTCCCTCATCGTCTCTTTCCCCATGTTCTTCCCATTTCTCTTACTTCTCTCCCCTGTCTTGCTTTCCGGCCTTGACCTGTCTGGAAACCTGGCACAGCTAGCCGAGAAACTGAAGATGTCAGATCCTCTGGTTTTAGAAAGGCAGCGTGGGGACAGGGATCTGGAGCCGGACTGGCTGGTGCAACTTCGGGCGCAGCACAGGAGACTGGAGGTGAGTGGGGCTGAGCTGGGGGGAAGGCTCTTTGCCACCTTCTTCCCCGACATAGAACAGAAAGGTACTGACACAAGTCCTTGGCCCTCACGCATGGCAGTGACTTCTCCCATCACAAGTTGCAGCCTCGTGTCCCCACCCTGCCCGCCTCCTGGGTGGAAGCTTCCCCCCACCCCAAGTTACCAGGGGACATGGTGGGACTCTCTTCACAGTCACTCCTGCCACCCTTCCCTGAGGTCCCAGAGAATAGGCTTCGTGACCATCAAAGCTTCCCTGTATTCGTGAGGCACAACGGATCACAGTGGACGCGTGTCACTTTCATGTAATGTGGGGCAATTTCTTAAAAGACTTTGAGCCTTTCCCTTTTGTTCCCACAATTGCAAAAGCTGCCGGTTGTAATCAGAACAGTAATTGGAATAAGGCCACCTCCATTTCCTTTCTCCTATTCTGCTCTGAAGAAAGGACAAGGTGGATTTTTAAAGCACACACAGCCTCTACTGCCTCTGTCTGCTGCAGGTGCTGAGGTCTTGTTTGGTTCCGTCCACGTGCCCCTTCCTGTGGGATAATGGGTGATCCAAGCCTCCAGCTGCCTCTGCCTACTCTGAGCTGAACTGGGAGACCTGGGAGACAGCACCCCATCCACATGGCACCCTTGAGCCTTCAGCCGAGGAGTCCTAACCTTGTCACTCCCGCTGATTTAATTTTTGAACCACCTTGCTCACTTCTGTCACTTTCCTTTTGATTTATTTTTGAACCACCTTGCTCCCTGTTCTTGTTGTTTCCTTTGTGTTGCTTAAAAGAATTTTACTTTATTTTAAATAGCAGAAGGTAGCAGGAGATGTTGGGGACCCCCGTTCTGCTCACTCGGATATTTCGGGAGCCAGAGGAACGACCACAGGTATTCTATATTATGCGTTGAGTGTATGAACAGCTAATGTTCAGGGTCCGATTACAGGAGACAAAGTAATTTACAAAAGCACCCATCCTTCCCTTCCCAGAGGGCCTCTGTAAATCTGCCCACCGTCCTGGCCCCTCCTCTGAGCGGCTGCCATGGCCCCACGTGCCCCTGACTCTTCTAAATTTCCGCAGAACAAGAGCTTCTGCTTCACAATTCCAGGTTTTGAAGTACCCAAGTGTTTTATGTGTGGCATCATATTGTTAGCTAATGGTTTCAGCGATATTCAGCCCTTCTCCTGCTCCGGCTAAGTCTGTTGAGTCCAGAGATGGCGGCTTATCTGTACCTCATGTCAGTACTGAGGACGTGGGAAGCTCTTCCAAGTTTTGAGCTATCATTCGCCATTTAACTGTGAGAGCAGGGTGTCTGGAAGTGTTTCCCCAGCGTATCTGCTCTTCCCCTGGAAACTTCTTTGAGGCAGGTGGGCAGGTCTCATATCCCTGGCGAACTTACATCCTCCACCCCCATGGTGGGTTTGGGAAGGGCTCTGTTCTTGCCTCTTCCCTTCTGGCCACTTTCCAGCCCTGGGATAAGCCAAGGAAGGAAGGCAGGGCGGGCCTTGGTCTGTTTCTTGGCTTTGCTGCCATGCATCAGGATCAGCAGAGGTGGAGGGATGGAGGGGAGAGGCTGAGTGCCTCTGGGTGGCTGCTTCCTGCAGCCCTGTCTCCTGTTGTGCAATGGAGCAGGCAGGTCACCCACACCATACCAATGACCTTGGGCCAATCATTTTACAGGTCCTCACCTTAGCTTATCTCATCCTCAAGGTCCCTTCCAGGGCAAGTGTGCTCTGATTTGCCAAAAGCAAAGCCATTATTTCTGTGGTCTGATTTGGGTTTTTAACTGGAGACTTTCTAAGTTTCAAATACCCAAGCTCATTAGGAATTCCTTCAAGAGGAAAGAGTTGATCCCAAAATTTTAAAAATGTGCTGGGCATGGTGGATCACGCCTATAATCCCAGCACATTGGGAGGCTGAGGTGGGAGGATCACTTGAGGGAAGCAGTTTGAGGCTAGTGTAGGAAACTTGGTAAGACCCCTCTCTCTACTTGGAAAAAAAAAAGATGTGGAGTTAGACGGGTTGGTAATTTTGGCCCTCTCAATCCACTAGTTAAAGGCTTGAAGAACACACAAAGTAGTGAGGGAAATAATTCTGTAAACAGCAGTGAGAGGTGTTGCAGTTATTCTGTGTTTTGTCATTACATGTGACTTGAGGCCACATCAAACCTGTTCTTGGGACTGCTTTCCAGAGAGGACATGAGCAGGAGTGTCTCTGGTGTGACCAGTTTACAGACACCACATTTTAAGTCTCACTTCCTTCTCTTTGTCCTGTATCCTTAGAAAACACCCTCTACCAGGATCTTGTTGAATGTCAAGGCTACTCAGAGGTCCCCAGGCCCAGCTCAGCCCTGTGGCCCATGCTGGAGCAGTCCCACCCAGCCCAGCCAAGCCCACAGCGGCCCTTTCTTCTCCAGTCGGGCTCCTATCCAGTCGGTGAGGATGAAGGGCAGACAGGGGCATCAGTGCCTCTGTACTCAGTTCCTGAAACCCATCTTCTGGGGACTGGCGACCATGTGACGGTGACAGGGGTCCCTGGAGGACCGGTCTGGGAGGAAACACCCCAGATACACGCTGGCCCTGGTGAGACCTGGCAGCTAGGGTGACTGCTTTGGGTGCAGAGCCTAGGTGGGGAGGAGGCAGGTGAGGGAGGCTCAGGGAGTCAGGAGAGGTGAGGTTGGAGCTGGTGGGGTGTGCACCTACCCGCGGCCTGTGGTTTGTCAGCCACCGTGCAGGAGCTTGGTGTCCACACAAAGGAGGGTGCCTCTTCCAGCTCAGTTGACCTCTCCACAGGGACCACGTAGTTCCTAGGAGATAGATTGCAGGGCGGAGAAGTGAGGGACAGGCCCCCTGTTCCTCATGAACACCCTAGCATAGGCCAGGCCCTCTTTCTGCAGTCGTCCCGCCACCAAGAGCTCAGGAACTCCAGCAGAAACTTGTATCCCTGTCCTGGTCCTGGGTTTCTTCAGGTTGGTCAGGGCTTGGACAGAGGGGGTCATGTAGGTGAGCAGTGCCAGGTGATGCTAGGGAATGCTTGGAGCCACATGGAAGGATCTTAGGCCTTCTAAGAGAAGGTTCTGTCCAAGCTGGAGAGTCAGGTGAAGGGAGGGTGGTGGAGGATCCTGTGATCTACTCAGAATTGCTCAGATCTCTAAGATTCCTAAGGAGTGACTTTGACCCTGGGGATCAAGGTTGGGTTGGCTGGCACACCTGGGTGACTGAGGTTGCGTGGAGTCCAGCAAGCAACCTTTGAAACGACTGTGCTGTGTGGGGAGTGTCCCCTGTGGTCGAGAAAGCTGCTGTGTCCCCATTCCCCTTCTCCAGGAGAGGTGGAGAGAGCACAGCTTCCCATGACCGTGTTTGTTTTTGTTTGTGCTGCAGGAGAGAGCACAGTGTCTCAAGAAACTTTCCAGTCTCCTGATGGTCAGAAGGTCATTTCCAGCCCACAGGTGAGAGGACAAGGATCAAAGCTGCTGCCGCTCTCTCTCACACTTCTGGTTTTGGCCACTGCCCTGGTTTCTTCCCTCCTAGCGTGGTCATGGCTCTCTCTTCCACACTGTGCCTTGTTTTGCTCTACATCTACTCCTGGGAGTTGGGCAGGAGGCCATGTTTCCCTGTGTCCTTATTGAGGACGGGGAGTGGAGCGTTTAGTCTTGGCCTCCCAGATCTCTGCCCGTCTGCTGTCCCCTTCTCGCTGCTGTACCAGACGCTGGCCACACCCTGCCTCGTCACCAAGCACTCTTGATATTTATCTCCTTAGTTTAATTTTTCACCTTGTTTCATTTCTTTTTATTAATTTTTTGAGTTGGGGTCTCACTCTGTTACCCAGGCTGGAGTGCAGGAGCATGATCATGACTCACTACAGCCTCAACCTCCTGGGCTCAGGAGATCCTCTCACCTCAGTCTCTTGAGTAACTGGGACTATAGTTGCACACCACCACCCCCGGCTAACCTTTTGGTTTTTTTGCATAGATGCAGTCTCACTATGTTGCCCAGGCTGGTCTTGAATTCCTGGGTTCAAACAATCCTCCTGCCTCACCCTCCCACAGTGCTAGGATTACAGGCATGAACCACTGTGCCTGGCCTATCTTGCTTCATTTCTAAGGAAATTCCGTGGAAACTCTGATACGCCTGCCTATGTCTTTCTCCTCTGCTAGGCTGGAGGCCTTGGAGGTGACTGTGTCCATCAATCATGCTATCTAGCTGCTGATGGAATGTGCCCCTTCCTTCGAAAGTGGGCAGCATTGGTCCTAAACCTTAGGTATTCTTCTGCTTTGCTTGGTTGGAGGGTTACAGTCATACACTTTTCCCAAGAAGAAACAGGCCTAGAGATCTTAAGAAACTTCCATGTTTTCCTGTTTTATTTTTTATTCTGACTGAAAAAGCACATTGTTGTTATAGAAAAATATAAAAATAGAGTATCATATAAAGTATAAAATACCACTTGTAATAAGATACCACTTGGAATCTAACAGTCAAATATTTTGGTTCTTACAATATTTTTTCTATATGTGCCTATACATGTGTGCGTATATACAAATATATATGTATTTATGTATAAATGTGTATGTTTTTAAATGGTTAAGACCATATGTATGTCGAGTTTTATTTCTTGTTTAACACTATATAATGAGATTTTCTATGCCATTCATAAATATGATTTTTAATATTGGTATGACAACATTCACCCTATGAAAGTATCACCATTCATTCATTAATTTATTTGAAAATATTCACTGAGTTCTTGCAATGCACCAGAAACTGTTACAGGGTCTGGGGCTCCACCAGAGGGTCACAAAAAGCTGCCTTCATGGCACTCAAGGCTAGCAGAGGTGGCTAAAAATAAATAACTCTGTGCACAAGGTGCCTAACTGTGGGTGGGGGTGGCCAAGGAAGACATCTCTGAGGAAGCCTTTGAGTAAAGACCAGGTTGGAGTGTGGAAGTGAGCCAGCAAGATATCCAGGGGGTGCGTGTTCAAGGCAGAGAAAACAGCAGAGCAAAGGCCCTACCAGGGGCTGTCGCGGTGTCACCAAGGACGCGCAAGAGCCCCGTTGTGCCTAGAGAGTGGGGAGCAGCAGGGAAGAGGGCTAAGAAACGAGGTGGGGAAGGCAGCAGAGGCTGGGCTGTGGTAGACCTCAAAGGCCATGGCAAGGAGCTCCTGTTTTAGTTGGCCATTCCCTCGGTATTCAGCATTTCAAGTGTGTCACTTTTCTTTTCTTCCCCCCTTGCTTTTTTCACTCATAATCAAGGAAGACCCCCAAAAGCCCAGAATTTATTGATTAAAAATGGTTTATTTATTCTTACATGTTTAAACTTTAGTCACCTTCAAAGTACTTTGCATTTGATGCAATAGACCTATTGAGACACATTTTCCCTTGTGCAGAACAGTTTTGAACTGGTACATTTTGATGTCTTCTGGTGCTCCTGCTGTTTTTTTGTTCCACCTCTTCCACATCAGCAAAACATTTCCATTGGAGGACTCTTTCATCTGGAGAAACAAAAAATGTCGCTTGGGAAAAGATTGAGTGAATAGGGAGGGTGGGCCATGGGGTCCTACTGTTTTTGGTCAAAAAACCACTGAACACTCAGTGTGGTGTGGGCAGATGTGCTTGTAAATCACCCGTCATGAAATGGGCAAATGCACCGAAAGAATCTCCAAAAAAAAAAAAAATTCACTGAAGCCAGACGCACCATCTCACAACAACGCTAGCTGGTACACTCATCTGATGGGTTCCTAGAACACTTACCTATGGAGGAAGCCTGAACTATCAGGGCTGTCCTCCAAAAAGTAATTCTGTTTTTTAGGGGGTCGCCCCTCATATAACAGACAGTGATGGGCACCCTAGCATACAAGCCTTTGTCTATGTTTTGAGTTATTCAGTTATGAGAAATTCCTAGAAGGAAAGCTAGACTGCCTAGGTTTGAACTCTTGCTCTGTCATTTACTAGCTGTGTGATCTTAGATCGGTTGCTTAACCTTTCCGTGCCTTAGTTTTCTTATATGTAAAATGAGATGATGAAAATAGTACCTATCTCCCAGGACTGTTGTAAGGATTAAATGAATCACTAAACATAAAACATTTTGAATAACTGAATAAAAAATAAAGCTTTGTCTATATTTTGCTAAAATATTTCCAAAGTATGTACCAATTATGCTTTATTGAAAGTGTAAAATGTAAATATAGCACAAAAGGGCAATATGTCATGTGATTCCACTTATATTAGATCAATAGCATAGACAAAAAGTAGACAGAAAGTAGGATTGAGGGGGATATGGAGAGTTACTGTTTAAGAGGTGCAGAATTTCTGTTGGGGGAGATGAAAAGATTCTGGATTGGGCAGTGGTGATGATTGTACAATATTATGAATCTACTTAATGCCACTGAACTTACACTTAAAGTGGTTAAAATGGCAATCTTTACACTGTGGATATTTTACCACAATGAAAAACAATGTAAAGGGGTGTGGGTGTATTTTGCCCCCTTTGGTGTGCATGTTCACAGCTGACCTTGGGCAAGTGTGATGGGAAAGGAGTGCTGAGGTGAGTTGGGCTTGGTGGTTGCTACATTCCTCTGGGTTTGGGGGTGGGGGGTTTGTGGGTCTCTGTGGGGTGCTTCCTGGCCCTCTTCATCTCCAGCAGCTACGGTCCATACCCCCTGCTCCAGGTCTTGGTGTAGTTCTGGAAATATCCTGCTACTGGAGAGGTATCACAGCAGACAAAACTCTGAAGATGAGGGATAACAGGGAGACTGGGTTTGGGCTCTGACTCTGTCCTAAGCCTTCGCAAGTCCTTTTTCATGGCTGAGCCTTACTTCCTCATCAGTAGACTGGGATCCTGGAAGAGTAACCCCTTGGGAGCTTGAGCGGGTCAGGTGAGGGAGCATACCTGAATGTGTTTGGTAACCTGCCATGTGCCACACATATGCTAGTTCTTATTTTCTTTAATTCTAGGCACCACTGGTTTCCAGAGCACGAAGTATTTCCGAGAGTTCCGCCAATTCAGTCAAGGAGGGTGAGGAGGAGTCCTCCGATGAGACTGATAGAAAATCTTCCCAAAATACTGCCCAGGGAGAAAAGCCAGGAGATGGGAAGGAGCATACAAAGGTGAGGGGACTTGTTCTTGTCTTGTGTCCTTCTTTCCCCTGTCACTCCCTTCCTCCATGCTGGAGCAGAGCTTGGAGTCTGGGCGCCTGCTGTGTCGCTCCCTCCCACCAGCTCCCCTCCTCTTCCCTCCCCTCCTCACCACTGTCATATTGGGGTGGCCTAATCTAGTTGTTGGGAGAAGCCAACCTCTAGGCTACAACAATTCCTCTTCCCCTTCCAGAGCTCAGGACTTGGCTGGTTCAGCTGGTTTCGATCAAAGCCTTCCACCAACGTGTCTCCCTCAGGAGATGAAGACTCATCTGACAGTCCTGACTCCGAGGTAGGCTCTGTGGGTTACCTGTGGGGTAAGGAAGCCCCCTATTCCATGGGTCTTTCAGAGGAAATTGCCTCAGTGCCTTGGAGCTCTTGAAGCTGGCCTCCGACTCTCTCCCCTAGTTCAGTGAGATAGAGGTCTCACGATGGGAGATTGTGGGACATGAATTGGTCCTGGGAAGGCAAAGGCAGATTATGAAAGGCCTTGGAAAGTTGGGATGAAGAACTTTTAACTTCAGGGGACCAGCAAAAAAGAGCTGTCCAGATTATTGAGCAGAGGAGTGACATGAGGAAAATGGTGTTTTGAGGAGAGTACCAGCAGCAGGTGGTGGAGGAGGCCACCATTGTGGGTCAGGAACACAAGTGGGTCGCAAGAGTTTGTTCACCACCAATGTCACCAATGCTGCCTTTCTTTCTCTACCAAGCAGGAGACCCCCAGAGTGTCTTCTCTCCACCAGGCTAGCCTGGATCTTTCATCGACATCTTCCCCCGAGTTACCACCTCTGTTGGGTGCTAGTGCCTTCTCTGGGGTCTCAGGTACCAGCCTCACATCCTCTGGGCTGCCTGTGGTCTTGGCACTCTCAAGGGTGGGGGAGGAGGGTTGCTTTTTCGGAGTGGGGAAACCCCAGTCCTGAGCAGAGAAAACAGCTCTGACTTGTTGCTTTCCAGGTAGGGGTGAAGGCCAAGGATCCGTGTCCAGTCAGGGGACACCCTTGGGCACTGGGATTGGAGGCTTGTCTGGGCCTGAGGTGAGCAACCCACATGCTGGAGCCTGGGACCCCAGCCTGTGTATGAGAACTGAACTCTCGGTGTGGTCCGTGTGGGAATATGGAGAAAGCTTCTGCATTAGTTTGCTTAGGCTTCCATGTTGAAGTACCACAGTGTGGGAGCCCTAAATAACTGAAGTTTAATTTCTCAAAGTTCTGGAGGCTGGAAGTCTGAGATCAAGGTGTCAGCAGGGCTGTTTCTTCTGAGGCCTCTCTCCTGTGTCTTCACAGGGTCTTTCCTCTAAGTGTGTCTGTTCAAATTTCTTCCTCATACAAGGCACGAGCCATAATAGATGGGGGTCCAGCAATAAGACCTCAACTTACCCTTAATGACCTCTTTAAAGATCCCTGTCTCCACTGGGCACATTGACTCACACGTGTAATCCCAGCACTTTGGTAGGTGGAGGTGAGAGGATTGCCTGAGCTCAGGAGTTCAAGACCAGCCTGGGTAACTTGGCGAGACCTTGTCTCTATAATAAATAAAAAAAAATTAGCTGAGTATGGTGGTGCATGCCTGCAATCCCAGCTATTTGTAAGGCTGAGGTGGAAGGATTGCCTGAGCTTAGCAGATCAAGGCTGCGGTAGCCATGAGTCTGCCATTGCACCACAGCCTGGGTGACAGAGTGAGACTCTGACTCAAAATAAATTAAATAAACAAATACCTTATCTTGAAGTAAATATTGTACTTTCTGAGATAATGGGGGCTAGGGCTTTAACATAAGAATTTTTGCGGACACACAGTTCAGCGCATCACAGCTTCCTCAGGTGAAGTCTGGGGAACTGCCTCTTCCCCTGACCCAGTAGGAAAGCCAGAGTCCACCAAAGACTGTGGCAATGACTGGGATCAATTCTTAATGAGTTGTCCACATCGATAAGGATTTCATAGTGCTAGGAAAACGTTTTTATTTCTTGAAGGCTAGTCAGAGCACTCTTGTCGTATTTTAGGCCTGCTGAAAAATACAACGTTGCTTTTTATGATGATGTCAGTATAATTTATTGTGGCTTTTTCTTCTTGCCAGCACTGCCACTCCAGCCCCAGGGGTTGGTTGTGCCCATGGAGCCCTGCTTGTTTGTTTGAGACCCCGTGAGTTCTACCAAGAAACTCTTCCTGTGTGCTTCCTGAAGCTGTGGACATTCTGGAATGTGGGAGGCAGGCCCTGACAAGATTTTCCATTATGTTCCACCACAGGGTGTCTCCTTTGAGCTCCACTCCAGCCCTGGTGGTCTGCTTCCTCCACCTCCCTTGAAAGGGTCTGTTCCTCTTTACAACCCATCTCAGGTCCCTCAGGTAAGGAACGCCTCTCCCCATGCGGTGTGGGGGTTAGAAGCACAGGTTTTGGATGAAGGAGACCTGGGTTTATAATCCTATTTTACCATTTACTATATGTGAGTTCTTGAGCAAGTACGTGACCTCTCTAAGCCTGTTTCTGCGTCTCTAAAGTGGGGTGAGTAGTAGGTAGCTCACAGATAGGTATGTGAAGGGCCTGGTATACAGAGAATAATCAGTACATGCAGTTATCATTCATATTGCTCTTCACTTTTAATAAGACTTGAGATGTGAGAGATGCAGTTGGTATTGTTATCAGGGAGGTGGGTGCATGGTCGCTCTGTCCTGGGGGTGAGGGGATCCTTGCAAGCTCTAGGAAAAGCTGAGCTTCCCACTCCTCAGTGAGCTGGTGGACTTAGCTCTGCTCATGTGTCATTTGACCTCCCCTCATCATAAAATTGAATTTTATTCACCGTATTTAGGTGGCCAAGGTATTAGGTGAAGGTGGATGGTTAGAACACAGCCCTGGGAAATGTTCCAGAAAGAGGTGCAGGAGACTCTAAGTGCATCCATCCAGTCACCCTGGGCAGAATTGTGTTGGGTTGTCCTCTAGTATATATTTCTTCTTCTCTTCCAGCTGCCCATGACCACCAATCTGAATCGGCCAAATCGCCTGGCCCAGCGCCGCTATCCGACCCAGCCGTGCTGAGGATGGCTGCGTGTCCCGGCTCGACTCCCAGGAGTGCACCTTTAGCTCCTTTCCCTCAGTCTCCCAGCTCCTCTGCCTTACTTGGGCCCTTAAGAGGAGGCTTGTGCTAGCCTTTTGCCACCACTGGGCACTTAGAAGGCAAGGGAACAGGACCTCCTGACACAGGTGACTGGACACAGGCTTTCCTGACATAGGACTGACACAGCTTGTCTCTTAAGATTAGCTTTAGAACAATGGAAATTATTTCCTCAGATGGGAAGTCTGGGTCTAATAGCAGACTGGATATGAACAGAGTGACATGGTAGCAGTACTTAAGGTGTTGGCTTGAGGTCCTTGGGGAAGTTACTGCCCTGACAATCCCACCGCTAGAATCAACGATGACATCCTGGGCTCTGCAGCAGGAAATTGGCAGGGCGGGGGAGGGAAAAGGGCCCAGAACAATATTCGAGGTGGACTTTGACTCCTTCCTATCTTAGAAATAGTCCAATACTTGGTTCTAGTTAGTCAAGTTTTTATACTGAAACTTGATTATTGCTGTCCTTCATAATTTCCTCTTCAATGACATTTCAGCAGTTCTCTTTTTGGTCCTAGTTTTGCGCACATTTTCTGTGTGGTTCAGATTAATTATATTTCTCTCACTTTCTTAGCTGGTCCTATTTTTTCACATTCTGGCATGTGGCTATCAAGTTGGATTGCTGTAGGCATCATATTGTCATGGTAACTACTGAACCTAATGATGCCGGATGGAACATCAGTATAATAAATGATGGAAAACGGTTCCTCAAAATTCATCCCTTCCGTAAGAGGCGCGGAATGAGTGCCTGATATTGTTAATACCTCCCTTCCTACCTCGGGCCTTTGCAAATGGATGTTCGGAGGGTCACCTGCACGAGAGGGAGGAGGGGAACATCTTGGAAATTTCCATTTCTCTTTTCAAACCCAAAATAGGAATGACTCTTGCTGTTTGTCACATTTGCTGAAAATTGCTCCTCACAAAGAACATTTTTCGTATGTGTAATTGTACATACAAGTTTAGTACTTTGATGTTCTATCGTTCTGATGTTGACGGTAATTAAACCCAGATAATTTTATAGCAAATGCCTGTCTCTGGCTGATTTTTGCAGCGGGAGAAAGCACACTGATGGTCTCTTCCCTGAAGTCTTTCTAATAGTGGTTTCATTGTGTGACCGGGTGTGAATGGCTGGAAAGAGCCCTTTGTTAATGAAGAATCTAGGGACTGATCCTCTTAACTTCCAAGTCTGCTTTCATGTTATTATTTTTCCAATTTAAAAAATATGAACAAAACTCCTTTGATGCAAGTCAGTCACTTTACTAACTAAATGTTGCATATTTTGTCCCTAATTTTTTTTTAACCTCATAGATTAAATTAGAAAATATATGCATAAGTGTTTTGCACCTAGAAGGCCCTCAGTAAATGCTGTTCCTCTTTCTTCCTTAAAGGGCTGCTGTTCCCTCAGTTTGCTAGGCAGACATCCGGCATTCGTGTGTGAGTTTCTCAAGGGCCTAAGGGCCTTGTCTAGAATCCCAGCTCATCCACAGTTTGCCTTATAACCTTGGGCGAGGCTGCAGAACTGTCCTGTACTTCTATTTTCTCATCTATAAAATGAGGATGGTAATAATGAAATAGTACCTGCCCTATAGGGACATTGCAAGAATTAAATGATTTAAGCCCTTAGGAAAGGGCTTGGCATGTTGACCCTTGAACAACATGAGTCTGAACTGTGCAAGTCTACTCATCAGCGCATTTTCTTCCACCTTTGGCGCCCCTGAGGTGAAAGACCAATGCCTCCTCTTTTTCCTCAGCCTACTCAACATGAAAATGATGAGGATGAAGGCCTGTAAGATGATTCCCTTCCATTTAATGAGAAGTAAATATATTTTCTCTTCCTTATGATTTTCTTTTTTTTTTGAGTTGAAGTCTTGCTCTGTCGCCCAGACTGGTGTGAAGTGTCCACTCCTGGCCACCGCAGCCTTGACCTGCTGGGTTCCAGTGATCCTTCTGCCTCAGCCTTCTGAGTAGCCGGAATTACAGGCATGTGCTACCACACCCAGCTGATTTTTGATTTATTGCAGAGATGAGGT